TGTGCCGGCGACGCCACGCCTGCGGCGCAGCGCCTCGGGGAGAGCCACGCACCTCGCTTCAGCGTGTTCTTTTGGCAGGGTTTTGGGCAGGACTGCGGAGAACGCCTTTTCCAGGTGGAAGATGAGGAGGTTGCTCGTGCTGGGGTTACCCTGGGAGGAACGGGGCAGCCCTGCAGGGTGGCAGAACCGGACGTGTCCCCTGCAGCAGACACCAAGACCGAAACGCTCCAGAGTAAGGCAAATAACTTAAGACTGATGGAGTAGCTCCCAGTGTCCTGCTTGTAACACACTTTACTCCACGGAGCAAAGGAAAGGCAGGTTCACCCTCCTTATTTAACCTTCCCCGTACATTTAAGAGATGACCAAGACGAAAAGAAAAAATAGAAAGGACTAGGGAGAAGTTGTCTGCCTCCCTGGAGCTGCGCTACAACACAACACTACTGCGGGCTGCTCGGGGGTGCTGCGGGTCAGTCTGGAGAAGGCAGCAGCCCCCACGTTGCCGGGGCTGCAGCAGTAGTGCCACTGCGTCACCCCCCGTGCAAGTCACACAGCGTGCTCACGAGCGCCAGCTGATCTAACTTCATCCCGCTGCAGTCCCGGTCATCGGTGGCTGAGCACTGGTAACACTCTCACTCCACAGCTCAAGGTCGTTTCAAGCAGAGAGAAACCCAAACCAATCCATTTCCCGGGCCTGGTACCCGTGCACTCCAAAACAAGTGTTCCTAATGCCCAAACGTTACAATGGAAACCTCACAGTTGACTGGAGATAGGTCAGCTAGATTCCCTTTGCGCTTTGTTTTCAAGCCCCTTGTCTCCACGCCTGGTTTTCAAGGAAGACCTACAACGTGCTTGAGTGAAGATCCCCTCTCGTTGCAGCAGTGCTGGTTCTGACTTCCCCCTACACGGGCTTTCTCCGCCTCCGACCAGGTGTACGTCAGGAGAAAGGGGGCACGTGTCCAAGTGACATCCTTCCCCGAGAGGGTTTTCACACGCTGGGAAGCTAACAATGGAAATGACAAGTTAGGTAGCATAAGGTTAAACTGGCCACCAGGCCACCTGGAGCACGGCGAGGTCCCTTCAGCCCCCGCTCAGAGTTTCCTCTCCCTTAGTTTGTCCTCGTTCTGTTCATCCAGTATTGCCGAGTGTCCATCACCATTGCTCAAGCACTTGTCCTTTCCGTATTTGTGCTCTTGCTTCTGCCGCCTTATCTCCTTATACCGCAAAGTGATGTCACTGAAAAGAAACACAGACGTGAACTGGTGATGCGAGCGAACGATTTCAGCGTACAGTCAAAAGAGCCAGGCGCGTGTTCCGGACGCGAGTGCCCCTGGGGTAACCACCCACCGGAGTCTTTAGGCGCTACGATATAAGGAAGAAGTTCTTTCCAATGAGGGTGGTGAAACCCTGGCAGGGGTTGCCCAGAGAGGTAGTGGAGGCCCCATCCCTGGAAACATCCAAGGCCAGGTTGGACGGGGCTGTGAGCAACCTGATGTGGTTAGCGGTGTCCCTGCTCCTGCGGGGGGGTTGGACTAGATGACCTCTAGGGGTCCCTTCCCACCCAAAACATTCGATGATTCTAAGTTTCTAAACCTGCTGATGGCACCGATTCACCCCCGATGTGACTGCCTTGCTGGTAGCCTGGCTGCTGTCACCTCCTCCAGAACGAAGACAGCAGTGTGTTCAACAAGAGCGGCCGCTGCCGCCGCACAGGGCCACCTCTGTGGATCGGTGTGATTCCATCAGCCTCGGGCAGCTTGCTCGCACAGAGCAGCACCCAAACCAAACGCCCTTGGCTTGGCTCGCTCGTCGGCGACGCTGGGGCCGCTCGGGCGCTTCCTTGTTCTTGCAAGGAAGGGGCAAAACATCTCAGCCTCGTCTAACTCAGAGCACAGGAAAACCAAAACACCGACCTCGCCTGCCATCCGCGCTCATGCGGCATGCCCAGGTGCAGCCAGGACTTAGCTGCTTCTACAGCAACGCTAACACAAGTAGTCCCGCAAAGGCCGACGCTACCAGAGGCTTGATGCAGGAAGAAAACTGCCAGGACCACGCACAGAAAGCTCCCCGTTTATTCACCAACTCCTACAGAAAGCCAGTGTGGCCCTAGCCTCCCAAAAGAGCGGTAGCCCGTCGCCAGGAGGCACTGAAGGCTAACGACAGCGTACGTTTGAAGATGCACTTTGGGAGGGATGCCCAGGACAAGTCCCCTCAAAGACCCAGCCTAGACCCGAAGGTAGCACATCAAACACGGCTCACCGAATGAAGAAACGCCAGGCTGTCCAGGTGAGCACCAGAATAATCCCCAGGATCCAGCACTGGGTGATGCAGAAGGGAAGAGTGACCCAATTTCTTATGGAACTTCCTGCGAAATAAACGCACAGATAAACCAAAGCTATTGCTGTACAATTAAGCATTCAGAAAAATATTCATAAAAGACAGCTGGGGGTATTAATTTCATTCAGCTTTGCCTAATTCTGAAAGCCTAGTTTAGATTACACACGGACTAAGCCTACGCAGGCTGACGACTTTCACATTGACTTAAGTTTTCTCTGAGAGGCTCTGGAAGTATGTGAGAAGTTAAAGTTCATCATCGTGTGACACAAGGAACTATTCCCCGTTTTCGGGGTATTGGGAAATCCACATCAACCAATTACCTGACCAGCCTGAGATCAGCGGAGGTTCTGGGTGCGGTACGAGAGAGGAGCTCTACTCCTAGATTCCCTCTGCAAGCGTCAAGTCACGCTGCCGCAACCATACTGAACCCCTACATAACTGCGTTCTGAAATGTACCCCCCTCCCCAAAAGGCATTCAGTGAGCTGTCACTAACCATCTCTGCACTGATTTCAAAAGAAGCTCAATGACCAACAGGCAAGATACTGGAAGACCCAAGGATGGCGTTTCTCTTCCAGGACAACACAACCTTGGGGCAAATACACGATTAATATTTAATCCCTGGATTTGTTTTTAAGCAGCACCAGACAAGTCAACGAGAAGCTGCAGCGCAAGTCTGGCGAAGGACTCGTCAACCAGGAGGGCCAGACATTAAACTGCGGTAGAATCGAGACATCTACTCAGAGGCTCTACAAGCAGGAGGAGGGATTAGGAATATGCCATCTCGTGGGTCACCTATCCCGGCACGGGAGGGATATAAACCCGGAATACCCGTAGGCTGCCTTTCGGGAGAGCTCATGACCCTCACGGCTAACAGCCTACTGCTAGAAGCCTGGCCAAGGCGCTGACCTAAACCAGCTAGATCCTCCACCTCTTGACCTTGCTGCTCATGGCGCTTCTGGACTCGACATTCTCACAGCTCACTGACCTGACCGACCAGATGATTCACATGGCACTAATCAAACGGGGCTCTGTTCGGGCAACACAACAAGCCCTGTTTATGCCCTGGATTGCACCAAAATCCTGCCCACCGCAGCACCACTGGTGCATGCAGACGTGCCACCCAACAGCACCACTCCCCGCCTGGCAGACTGGACTTCTGCTCTTCCACCACCAATCTTCTGCATCTAAACTGGGATTTTACTCCCACTAGAGGAAAGAACTAAGAGAAAGCTACTAAAAGTTGTATTTTTTCCCCTCTTTTTTCAAAGGCATGATTCAATTCAACATTTACTGAAATCCAACGGATCTGAATGAAGGAAGACTGAACTTGGGAGCAGTACCCTCAACCACCACGATCACCAACTGCTTCGCCAGCAGGGACACCCAGCTCACTTCTCATCGACCTGTGGGTGCTCTCTTTTACTCCAACACCACAGGCAGCAGCATTCTGGCGCGCTTTCCTGTTAGCCCGAGCCCCTCCACCTTCACTGATGATGAGGTCTCTGAAGATGCCCGAGACAAACCATGCGAATGGAAGCACCACCAACCAAACTCGAAGGTGGCTATTCCGTTTGCCTTCTGTTAGCCCCCATTCTGCCTTCGTTCTATACGTCTCTGCTTTAATCACGGGGAACATCTATTCTGGAGAGGCCTTGCCCTCTCACTAACCACGGTGTGTTCCAGAGTACCTTTTCCTACCAGGTCCCTTCTCTCTTGTCCAGCTTACTGTGTTATTCCATTCCTACCCCAGCGTAAGACGTGAAGTGAAACACATCCTGGAAGAATTCAGAGTGAAGCGGCAGAACTACCAGGGCAGGACAGAGGAGATGGGGAGCAAAGGGACGCAACAAAGCTGGAGAGGGCTGGGCAGAGGGGGATGGATGGGTACGGTGACCTCTGCAGTACTTCTAGGGCATTGCAGCAATGGGAAATTCCAGCCTGGTCTATGACCACTGGGATGTACGGCCCCCCCTCGGGCTGAGGCACCGACTTAGCAAATGCCGTGATATTCAGCAGCCACGCAAGCTCTTTGGGCCGTATTTTCTTGCCGGTTTTGCCATGCAGTGGATGAAAGAGAAGGCACCTTACAAATCCCCTGGTTAGGATGTCCTCGGAGAGCGGCTGCTCTGCTAGGCAGAGCACAAGCCTGCCTGAGGCCCCGTCGCAGCTGGAATACTGCCCAGCACACATGCATGAGAACAGGCCCCGGGCACCTCCCGACAGCGCTGGGGCAGAGGGAGCTGCGACTGCACTTTTGCTCCTGGTTCCCCATCCCCTCTTCCCATCAGATGCCAGCAGCTGCACTGGCGAGAGCCTCCGTCCTTTCGCAGGCGTTCCCCTGTTGCTCAGACACATCTGCTCCGCTGCATCCCCTTGGATCCTCAGTATCTGGGAAGGGATCTAAGCTTGGAGAGCAAAGAGAGCTTCTCTTCCCCCTCCTGAATCCAGGGGAGTCCTTGCAAGTCGAGCACACAGAACACACAGTTTCTTAAACACGAGGCCCGAGAGTCGTGTTTGACACCAATGCATACGCTCGAACGACACCAAACCATCCAAATACACCGGAATAAAGCACGATGCAGCAAATCTAGCGTAGGTTATTGCTGACGCAGATGGCACGACTGCATTCCATTTTAAAAAGCATCCTACCTAGACCAGCCCAGAGGAAAGGACTTCGGAGGCTGCTGCCGGTGGCTCGCCTGGTACGACAACCGAAAGGGGCAGAACATGCCTCGAGCTGCTCGGATGGCTCGGGCAGCCTTCTGCTTTGCTCGTCCGCCTCATGCGCCGCCGCTTTCTCTGACGAGCTTATGACGGCACACTGACAAAGAAGAATTAAGGGTAACCCCCCCCAGAGGGGCTGTGCAGAACCTAAAGCTGCCAAGGAAGAGAGTTTGTTTCCTGCCTTTCTACTCATGAAAGATTTTAAAGAAAAGGCCTTTTTTCATTTGATGAAAGAGATTAAAATTCATGGCCCCAATGCAGACTCCTTGAAAGAGACCTGAGGACTAGAAACCAGGCAGGTCTGACAAGGTCAAATGCTACAGCCCCTTGCCTCAAGGTATTTCTGCTCTGGAACCCTTCACACAGCCCGTCCTCAAGAACTCGGAGGCAGCATGTCGATCGCAAAAGGAACATGGCATGCAAGAGCCGCAGAACCGCTTCAAGAGCCACCCCTCTTCTTGGACTATTCCAATTCTGGATGCTTTATTGTCACCGTGCTCAGACCAAATTCCTGAAAGCAAAGCCCTAGAACTGTCTTCAGATACGAGGGATCCTGAATGAGGAAAAGAGTGTCTTCACATTTGAACTTCACTACTTTCTAGACTAAATAGCGCAAGGTCAGGTGAAGAGATCTAATCAGTTTATCTCAGACAACCCTGTTGCTACCAGACCAAGCAATGAGCCATGCTTCTGACAAGGAAGGTCAATGGAATATTCCAACCTTGGTCCATGAAGAAGTTGAGCGAGTTTCCCAAAGGAAAAGGGTCAGGAAGGTTTCTCCTATGCTGTTAGATGGGAGCCTCTGGTGCAGCTCTCTCTTCCCCAGCAGCTTCTCCCTACAGCACAATGGGAAGAATCCAAAATGGTTCCTTGGTTCAAAATGATGTGCAAGGGAAAACACACCCAGTTAAGCTGGTAAAACGGGTAGATTATCCCCGCTTGGATGACCTGAAACGCACGAAGGAATCAAAGTCCAATCGCAAAAGCCTTCGCAGAGAAGGTATCAGGTCAGACCAGATGCCAGGTTTTGCCATTCTGCATGAACAGCCTGATGACGTCAGCTCTGTGGTGCATCAAGCAGAGCCACGAACCTCAGCCGCGAGGGGGCGAGTCGCCTTACCCACCAAGAGAAACCGAACGGTTGGTGGTGGTGGCAATGATGAAGACATGCAGTTCGGAATGAGTCTCTGCTCGCCGGATAAACTTCTCCAGCTCACTGAATGGCAACGAACTCAAGCAGCAATGAGGCATCAGTGATTGATGATTCTCCTAAATTTCAATGTTATGCCATGTGGTTGAACAGAGGGCAAAGGAGGTCTTCCAACCCAAACACGAGGACCGGAAGATTGTGAATGGTGCTAAGGAGAGGAGCTCACCCATGAGAGGCAGAGATCTCTTCTTACCTTTGCGTTGGAGGCACGTCCCAAACCAGTAGGTCCGACACCAAAGGCAGGGGGCAGCCTGCCACTGCTGAATGTCCTGAAATCCGCCTAAGCAATGGGGGTTGACCCTTCTTCCCAGTTCTAGGAGTCAAAGCCTCGCAAGGGAAACTGATCTTCACAGAATGTTGGAACCCTGAATTCTGAACACAGACACTTTTTGCGTTGGTCAGTGACAAGGAAACATCCCCTTGAAGCCAGACGTTGTCTTAGACTTAAGATGTGGGCTCAGGCAATCTGTGACATTACTACTAAAACTTAAAAGAAAACGTGATTTTGAGAACAAAGCTTTCTCAGGTCTTACATGGTCTGCAGAAACAAAAGCAGCAAGGACAAATATGGCGCTGAAGGAGGAACAGTCTGAAAGGACATGCACGGTTGTGTAGGGGTGCACTTTGCCTTCAGTATGCTTTGCTAGAAAGGGTCCTCCGGTCTGCAAGAGGGTGCCACAAGAGCTCCAGGGACCAGCTGGAAGACAGCTCAAGAAAAGCAGCGCCTTTAAGAAACATGTATTATTTTTTTCTTGTTAGTTTGGGCCCTGCTGTCCTTGGACGGTACATCTAAGGACTGTAGCTCCTGGCTATCCATCTGAAAGTGGAGTGCAGCGCTCCTCTGCCCACAAGCCAGTGGCGCTCCGGCTAATTTACGCATCACATCCCCAAGAGAGTGATCATTTATTAAAAACTGAGGTTAAAACCGGTGCACATGGAACGCCCTTAGCAACAGCTGCTCTCTCACCAGATGCAGTCAGGATTTCACCTCCAACACAAAAAAACGCAAAGCAGGTGCTTTGGGGTTAGGTCTTTTTGTCCCCGACAAGCTGAACTACTGCCCTGGGATGGATGCCAACGAGCTGGAGCAAATTCAAAATAAAGCAAGTGAGGCTTGACAGGGTATATACACAAGAGGACTGGCTTACGGGTCGTCCATGAAGTCGTAGATCTCCCTCATAGCCACACCTCCCACATTGACAAAAAAGACAAGTCGTAACAGGACCAAGTAGTGTTCTGGTGGCATCCAGAGGACAAACTTCAAGTAAAATGTGTTCAGCTCTGCCAATAAAAACTGAGAGAAAGGACATTTTAATTACATTCAGGAGACTTCACAGAATGAAGCCTGGAATCTCCCTCTCGCCCTGCGTGACTTCCCCCCACCGTTCCTCTAATGCCACAACCCCCTACCCAGTATTACCGAGCGCTCCGTCACCGGTGCCAATGACCACAAACAGTGGGGGGGGTGTTTTTTAAACATTTTCTGTGTGTTGGAAGAGGTGCTAAAAAACCACCACAGAAACCTGGACAAGCACCGCCTCTAATTTTCAACAAGTTTATCAGGATTTAAAACTCCTGCAGAACTACTGAGAACAAATCCTTGTCCTGTCACTGTCAGTTAAAACCTGACTGCGGGAACCCCAGAATAACAAGAGGCACAAGCAATACCTCCTGGGTTTTTCTGGTGGTTTTGGGGGTTTTTTTTGTTGGTTTTTTTACACTTTTTTTACAAGGTCACTGCCAAAACCAGCTCAGAACTGGCTGCACATTTACAGCAAACCATGAGCAAGCGAGCTGCCGTGGCAGTGTGATTAAACGAGCAGGGAGACACAAGTTTCCCACTTAAAAAGAACGGATAACAAATGGCATGAAGCTTTGTTTAATCCAGAAGAGTGAGCCAATACCCAAAGCTGCCTATAAGCTGCCAGCCGAAGCTAGGCTTTGCTAAAAGAAACACGATGATATCAAAGAGCAGTGTAAATCAGGGGAATCTCTCAGTTGCAAAATCTGCTCCAGCACCTAACCCCCCCGATTTTCTTCAGGGTGCAGAAGGCTGGGAGCACGCACGCAGCAACCGTTTGGAGAACCGTGCGTTTTACTGACGCAGGCACCTTTACCTGTCCCCTAAACTATGGGAACCTCAGCAAGTTCGTTGTGCTGTGCGAGCCTGGCAAATGTTTTACGTAGCGGCCATCAGGTGATGGGAACTTGTACGCAGCTGACTGAGCTTGCAAAGCGCCTGGCCGTCATCCGCTGGAGGCCGCTTGCGTGCTCACAGGCAGCCCCTGTTGCTCCCGAAGCACGCTCCGCTCCGCGATTTGGCGCCGGTGTCAAATGCAACGCTGCGATGAGAGAAGTGGGGCGGCTTGCCAAGCGTCCCACTCAGCAAAGCACAGTATGGGGCCTGTCCAGTGGAGCCCCCAAGGAAGGCGGGTTCAATATTCCACGTATTTCAGGATGCTCAAAGGTGTCCTGTTCTAGCAGCTGTTAAAAGCCACACAGAATTCTGCCCTGTACCCACAGCACACAGAAGCTGGTTAGCCCATTGCCTCCGGAGTCACTAGCAGTGTCACGAGGGGTATTTTTTTTTTTTTTTAGTTAAAACTTCACAGTTGCTGAATTGAAAGAAGTTTGAGTTGTTCAAACCAGAGCCAAGTGACACCCCAGGGATAGCACGAAGCTCAAAACCCCCTGGCTGGCAAGAGGCAGGGGTGGGGATAAAGCACTTAAACTGCCAAGTTTACCCTTCCTGTCAGCGGCGTCTGTGCAACACCCGGGGCAGCAAAGTGGAAGTTATGGATGCAGGATGATGCGTTCCCATGATGCAGATCCAGCGACCCGGATGGCGAGATGGGGAGGCAGGCTGGGGGTGACTGCTGGAGAAGCCAGCTTTCTCTTTGTCTAACTGGGGGAGCTGCTTTCCTCGAACTGGTCAAGCTGGATACTGTTAACACCATCACGTGCTACGTGTCCAGTGAATCGTTTAAAAAAATAAAAATCTAGGACAATTGAATTGTTTAAGTCTGTACAAAAACATTGGCTGAGGCCAAAGTGTGAGCTTCTGGGGCCACGCTGCTCAGAGCTAACCTAGAGGAGCCCGAGGCTTCGGTCGCCCCCCTCGCCAGCCGTGACGGGACACGTATCTGCGTGAGGCTGAGCGGAACAAGCCGCTTTCATCCAACGCCAAGGGCTTTGCTAGCAGCAGTTACCGGCTGAATTAGGTGTACACGAGAGCTTATACTGCTCACGTTGCCAACCAACATTGTTCAGCCAGCAAGAACAAATATTTATGCAGTGAATCTGTGAACTGCACCAGACATGGAAACAGGCGCCTTTTCTGCAGGATTCGGAAGCCATCTCTTCCAGCCCCGCCTAAAGAATCCCAGAACTGTTTGGGTTGGAGAAGCCCTTTAAGCTCCCCCAGCCCAGCCGTTCCCCTACCCCTGCCATCCCACCCCCAAAATCCTGTCCCTCAGCACCGCGTCTGCCCGGCTGTTAAATCCCCCCAGGGGTGGGGACTCGACCCCTTCCCTGGGCAGCCCCTTCCAGTGCCTAAAGACATCCCCTGTCAGAGCTGCAGCCCACATTACTGTTTGTGCAGTGGCTCGCGTGTGACGAAGCATTAAATCAAACGACAGAGAAAAGAAGAGACAGAGGAGCTTCCTTACGACAAAGATTATGCCACAAACTGCGAGCCATCTGCGTAAGCTGGACGCTGGCTTCCACTCAAACTTGACCCAGCTGTATGGGGTGAACTGGAAGACAATTCTCTTCATTTTACCTCTGGAAAAAAAAAAAAGCAGAATGCCTTCTTGCAATTTTAAGAAACAGCACGTAAGGGACATTACTAACGTTTCCCTTTGAGACACCAATTCACGTAGACAAAATGCCTCCATTTATGCCATAAAAACTGCTAGGTAATGAGATCAGCATTCGGAGCTAGGGAGAAGCCTGCGATTGGGATGATCATGTTAAACTTTAATGTCCCACACCCATGCAGTAAGCCAGGCCTCAGGTCTGGCCTGCTCAGCACAGCCACGCTACAGGAAAGGGCAACTCATTACCGGTACAAGGGATTTATTACATTTTAGGATTCAGTGGCCCAATTACTATGAAGTCCTGATTCCTAGGGAATGTGTTATTTGCACAAGGACCAAATACATCCTTGCTGTGAACGGAAGAGCATGATCCCGACTTGGACTCCTGCATCTCCTCGAACAATCTCATTAAATGAGCTCATTTCCACGCGACGCCCCTTTCCTAGGCATCAGGCAATGCTCATGACAGACAGGTTTATTTTCAACAATTTCATTCCCAAGCTAAATAAAACTCTCTCAAACAAGCTTCCACGCAGTAGCAAGCTACTAGACACTCGAGTCGTCTAAACACAGACGAACCCTTTAATTCACATTAATCCTAACAGCCCTTCGACAACCGAGATCTTTAACACTGGCCCAAACGCTGCGCTGTGCTCCTGCCCGTGGAGTTACCTTCCACACCAACTTACTTGTACGTAGGAATGTTCCAGAGTCCTTGCCATTTGTATGTTTTCAAAGAAAGCCAGGACAGAGTCTTCATCCCACAGTAGATTCCTAATCCGTTACACAAGATCACATCCATTATCCACTGAAAGGAGAAGAACACAGCGACGCTGGAGAAGAAACACTAGAGCTTGTCAAAGGGAAGACAGGACAGGACAGGTAGGCAGGCAGGCAGACACCTCTCGGTCACGAGGGTTGGCCAGCCCCAGAGGAGAGAGGTGCGTGAGCGGTCCCGAGAGAGAATCTCAGCTGCCCAAGCCTACCCAAGTAAAGCAGAAGGGCTCCGCAGATGATGGCTGCAGCTTCTCGTTTGCTGTATTAATTTGGCTACAAACAGACCTCCTCCCACTTACCATCGGCTCAACTCCACTCTGTAAAGTGAGAACTTCAGAAACACACCCCAAAAAACTCTGAACATGTTCCTACGGGCTGGATTTGGTCGTGCCCAATAACTTGACGTGCTCTTTAAGCTTCAGGCTGCCTCCTAAAGCAATGACTTGTCTCCAGGCTCAAGATGGGCAATTAAACAAGTGCTGTCTCCCCAGGCTCTGTCTTATTGCCAAGCGTCAATCCCAGAGATGGAGCTCTTGAGCTGAAGAAACACAGCTGTCCCCCGCATTGAAAGAAGCAGAGCACAGAGTGTTAAATTCCTGGGAAGTTTTTCTGAAGGCCAAAGAGCTTTGCTTGATGTCTTTATATATAACGCACTTACTTTTACAGATACAACCATGCAGCAAATCATTACAAGCTTGGGAAAGAGCTTGTACTATAAGATAAAAAATCAAGCCAAAATCCCCTAAGAACCACAGCTGTGTGCCCTGAATGTAGGTAACGGTGATCATGCCATTAACCAATTTACATTTCATAGGAAAATAAAAAACGGGAAGAAAAAACCCCACATGTCACTGAGCCACAGAGCTTGTTTTTCCCCCAGAGAAACTGGGTGACAGTAGTCCCCGTCTTGAAAAAATACACACGAGGAGTTACGCTAGGATGAGAACTGGCACGTGCAGAGACCATACAGCTTCTCAGTAAGGCCAAGCCTCTGTCTTTGAAAGCCTTTTTATAAGCCACACCGGCAATCCTGAGCACAGAAACACTGACTGTTTTCAGCAAACCCTGAAGATAGGTTTGCACAGGAGGAGGAGCTGGACACAAAATGCACCGAGTGTGGTTTGGGTTTTGTTACCAGGCAAGAAAAATCATGACCTGAAACTTTATACACAAACTTTTACCCTTCTCTCTCAGCCTCAGGTTTTACTGTTTGTACCATCACCAAATATTTGGAAATGCTCAGGTAAAGCCTTAGATTCTCCTCTGGTGGAAAATAAGCCAAAGCCAGTGTTTAACCACGTGCAGTAGCTTGAAGTCCCACAACGTACACAAGCAGCGACAAAGACATTAGGAACTCAACCGGAGGAGCACGGGCGCTCCTGAGCTGCGGCACTCGCACGCACACCTCGGGCCACGCGCACGTGGTGTAATTCAGCTCTCAGCACCTCCTACCCCCTCCCTTAGAAGACACAATTCCATCAGACAAAGGCACCAGGGTCTGTGCGGTACGTACGTGATCCCACCAACATTCACTGAAGTTTGGAAGCTGGTGTTCCAGGCTGTATTCCAGAAACTCAAACATTACACTGATGATCATGCACATCCACCAGTCTCGAATCATCAGTGTCTATAAAAAAGGGAGGAAAAAAGGCTGTCAGATATCCCCAGCAGCTGCACAAGGTACTAAAATCCACTACAGAAGACTTGCAGCCCGTACTGAGCGAACCAGACACCACCTACACCAACGCCCTTCGGGGATCCAAATAGAGGAGAACTCCGCAAATCCTGCAGAGGCACTGCTTGGATTTGCAACCGTGTATGGCAAAACTATTACGTTTCTTTCCTAATTTCAAAGCTGATCACTTAAGGAATACAGGATTAACCCTTCTGGACTCTGAACATAGAGGATACACAAGGGGTGATTTATTTGCCAGTTATTTCTGTGGCTGAGTATCTTTGTCTCCAGTATCCAGAGAAGGAGCAGGAAACTCAGGACAACCTGATTTTTACCATGAGACAGTCTAGTAAAGCCAAACGCCCGCAGGCCTCTCAGCTTTCCAAGTACGCAGCACAACAGACCGGACGCTGCAGAGTCCGGATGATGGCATTGATACCATTGCATGAAGGAAGAAAGGCAGGTGAGACGGGATCCAGAAGGAAGCTGTCAGTTAAATGAACGGAGTTGCTGGGTGCTCGACCGCCACAGGTAGCATCCTTCCAATGCTCCTCCAAAGAGGCTTTTCAGAGCCTGCTTAAGGTAAACTTCTGAAGAGTGACCTGCGCTGTACGTGAGCCCTGACTGCGCTGGGACGCCCGGGTCTGCTTTGTATCAGCCAGCGCTCGCCCGGGTGCGCAGTGAAGAGCAGCGCCGGGATTCAGCTGACCTGCAGTCCTAGAGCACACCTATCGCCCTGGCCCGCTGCCAAAACGAGGGAGGGGATCCGTGAGAACGCTTTATGTCCTATCTGTAAGTGGGTAAGAGCGCCAAGAGCCTGTACATCTGCTCTGCGGTACCAAGCTGCCTAGATGGAAGGTGGCAACCCCAAATGTGCTCGTACCAATTCTGCACGAGTACCGCAGCTTGGCCTTGGCTGCCCCAGCCAGAAGATGGAAAGATGTAAGGCAGGCACGATCACACGTTAGTCTGACGACGTGAGAGGGACCTGGGAGTCCTGGTAGACGACAAGCTGACCATGAGCCAGCAGTGTGCCCTTGTAGCCAAGAAGGCCAATGGCACCCTGGGGTGCATGAAGAGGAGCGTGGCCAGCAGGGCGAGGGAGGTTCTCCTCTCCCTCTGCTCTGCCCTGGGGAGACCCCACCTGGAGCACTGGGTCCAGTTCTGGGCTCCCCGGTTCAAGAAAGATGAGGAACTCCTAGAAAGAGTCCAGAGGAGGGCAACTAGGATGATGGGGGGACTGGAGCATCTCCCCTACGAGGAAAGGCTGAGGGAGCT